ATTCTTCCAGCCATCTTTTACTCATTTATCATTACAGCCAGTGAGTTGTAACTGTTTTTGTTATAGCTAGCTTGCTTTTAGTCTGAGCTATGTGAGAAGATATATTAAAAATTCATATATATTTTCACTCTTCTGTGTTGACTTCCTTCTTTTCATTTATTTCTTTTGTTCTTATTTTTATATCCTAGTTTTCCTCACTTTGGTATTTTTCTCTTTGGAATTGTAATACTGAACTTTCTTACTTTATAACATGGAAGGAGGGAACGAAAATGGTGAAGACAAGAACATTTTACTTTTCCATCACAGTGAATAGGAGAGAATTATACTTCAGTTTGTTTCTTCTCTTCAGCAGTGAGAGGTCAAAAAGATATAAACCATATTAAATCCTGGAAGATAGCCTCACCTAGTCTGTCTTCCTCAACCTTTGCTCCCACTTTTTGTTTTAAATCTGCCCAGGTTCTTGGATAGTTGATCCTGCATTCTTACTGTTCTTCACTTTAAGTCCTTTGTTAGTGCTTGGCACACAAAAAACACTCTACATATATCAATTGAATTAATTCAAGCTACTATCTAAGGTACTTGCTTCTTCACCAAATATGCACTCAAACCCCTTTTGGAAGGGTATTGGTGTTATCAAATTGGACCCTGTGGGATGGAGTGAAGCCAGGGTAACCAAAATCCCCCTGGGGATGCAAGTGGGAATTATGTTTTTTCACTAGTAAATAACATTTGATATATGATAAGTTTTCTTTTCTAGTTTCTAAAGTAATAGGGGATCCCCAAGGGAATTGAACTGGTTAATACAAATTGTATTAATTCTCCTCTGTAAAGAACAAGTTAGCCTCAACCATTTAAGATACAATTTGCCCCAAATTATTTTATGAATGATGTATTTTTAAAAAGTGAAATACAAATAATTTCTTTGCAGCATTAAAGTAATTGAAGAAAAAATATTAGCTTTTTTCCTCCCTAAAATTCAAGACAAGGAACTGAAAAGTATGGTGGGGATGTGTGTATGCTCGTACATGTGTGCATAAGTGTGTATGAGTGTAGATGTTATGTGTGTATAAAAGGATTCAGAGTCTGGTAAGACAAGAGGATAAGCAGAAAAGGCTGACCCTAAGCTGTGTTGGGAGCTGACTGCACTTTTTTAGGAATTCCAGAAGCCATATGTCTCCTACTATTGACAGTTCTGGGTGCTCAGAACCCTGGACCGGGTTTACGAGTTCTTTTGAGGTAGTTGGAGATCCACATCTGAGCTTTTAAGATATGTTACTGCTTTATACTTTCAGTAGCTCAAGCAATTCAATTTGGCTTATATGTTTTTCATTTTCTTTTTTCTAAAAGTCATGCAGAATCATGTCCAATAGAGTTTCTTTCATAAATTCATTTCTCATTCTGTTTATTATTTTCTTTTCCCTTTCCCCTGACTGTGACTTTGGCCGGATTGATTATGTAGCTGCTTAAAATTCAAAGAGTCTAATTTGGGACAGGGCCTAGAACAAAAACATGTTGGGCTGCTTATTTATTGTTGGAAGGAAAAATGACAAATTATCATACCATTGCTGGGTCTGGCTAATAATTAGCAAAGGAAAAAAAAATCTGAGGTCACTTTGCCTGGTCTTTATGTCTCATTTTCCTCTCCTTCTCATTATATATTACTTTTTTTTTTTTTTTGCAGAATATGGGTCCACAAGACCCACCCACCACATGGCTGGAAATCCCTGCATTTCATTTCATTTGGTAAATTTATTCATAGGGAAGAATTTGAACAGCTTAAACTTTTAGACTTCAAACTTGAATGCCTGTTGGTGTGGTTTTGATTGATTTAGTCCCTCTGGCCAAAATATTAATTATTTCAGATTTCCTCTTCTACTCCCTCTCCAGAATATCATCTAGGGGTATGATAGAAGAGTATGCCTTTCATGATCTGCATGGTGTCCAATGGCTCATCCTGTCTCTGTGGCCTTGTCCCTTCATTCTGGTTGCTGTTTGTCTTGCTGGCATTTAGGATAAAGATTAGCAGCTCATAGAGCTCAGGATTTGGTTTCTCTTAGACTATTTAGGTTTGGTAGTATCCCTTGGCTGATTTGGCTGTCCAGATCTCTGACAAATTCACCTGTTGGCTCCTACCACTGTGTCTTTGCTATGGCTAGCCTCAGCCCTGAACTCAGTTTCCTTTGGTGGTGTTCTACCATCTTTAGCATCATTCAGAAACTGAGGCCGATCTTCAAGGTGTGGTTTTCAAGGGCACCCGACTCATTCATATCTCATTGCCAGATGGAAACAAGAAGATGAAGAAGGCCAAACTTAACTTCTTAATTACCTCTGCCTGGAAGTAGCATACATTGTTTATGCTTATATTCTATTGATGAAAATATTGGAATCTTTTTTTTAAATTGAAATATAATTGACAACATTATATTAGTTTCAGGCATACGACAAAATGACTCAACACTTGTAAACACTGCAAAGTGATCACCACAATAAGTCCAGCCACCATCCGGCACCATAAAAATTACAATTTTTTTCTTGTGAATTTTTAAGGCTTTCCTTAGCAATTTTCAGATTTGCAATATAGTATTATTGACTATAGTCACCATGCTGTATACATTATATCCCCATGACCTAATTTATTTTATATCGGGAAGTTTGTATCTCTTGATTTTACCCATCCTCCAAATTCCCTCCCCTCTGGCAACCATTAATCTGTTCTATCTATCTGTGAGTTTTGTTTTGTTTGTGTATGTATATGTGTGTGTGTGTGTGTGTGTGTGTGTGTGTGTGTGTGTGTATGTATGTATATACATATTTAGATTTCAAATATACATGAAATCACATTGTATTTGTCTTTCTCTGACATATTTCCCTTGGCATAATACCCTCAAGATCTATCCATGTTGTCACAAATGGCAAGATTCATTCTTTTTTATGGCTGAGTAGCATTCTATTGTACATATATCACATCTTTTTTATCCATTCATCCATTGATGGATATTTAGGTTGTTTCCATATCTTGTCTATTGTAAATAGTGCTGTGGCGAACATAGGGGTGCATATATCTTTTTGAATTAGTGTTTTCATTTTCTTCAAATAACTACCCAGAAGTGGAATTGCTGAGTCATATGGTAGGTCTATTTTTAATTTTTTGAGGAACTTTCATACTGTTCTTCATAGTGGCTGCACGAATTTACAATCCCACTAACACTGCACAAGGATTGCCTTTTTTCCACATCCTTGCCAACACTTGTTATTTGTCATCTTTTTCTTAATAGCCATTCTGACAGGCATGAGATGATACCATGTTGTGGTTTTGATTTGCATTTCCCTGATGATTAGTGATATGGAGCATCTTTTCATGTGTCTATTGGCCATCTGTATGTCTTCTTTGGAAAAATACTGCAACCTTAAGATCTGATTCTTAATCTTCTATCACTTATTTGCTCAATAGCCTTAGGCAATTTATAGAACTTTTACAGTACATAAGATAATAATATCTTACAGGCTTGTTAGAAAGATTACATTATTTCAATTTTCAAATATTTTTTTGTTTTCGTGACCTATGCTCTTCACCTCTTAAAGCCCCTCCTCTTAATGTTCCTGAGACCCCTGTCTCCTCCTGCCCTCACAAACACACAGAGAAATTTTCATTAAGGTACTACTTTTTTCAACACTATACTGAGCATAATGCCTGATATATAGATAAACAATAAATATTTATGTTTTCTTTTTTGAATAAATGGACAAACAATGATATAAAAAATAATCTTAATACTGAGAAATAACTATTTTTGGAATTTTGGCATATCTTTTTCCTCATTATCATTCCCTTTGAAATTATTTTACAAAAGTGAAATTCAATTAGGTGTTTTGCTTTTTATTTAGCAATATTTTATAAGCATCTTTCCATGTCAATAAATATATATTTTCATAATTTTTAATGCATAGTAAACTCTCAATTTTGGTATATGCTTAGTGTTCCATTGAGTGTGTCTAATAGTTTAATAGTTTTCTGGAATTTTTAGTTGTTTCCTATTTTCTTCTTTTATAAAAAAGTTCAAATAATATACATGTACATACAATTTAAAAAATCTATGCTCATTTGCTCAATAATTTCTTTAGGAAAAATTTCTAGAAAGTCAAAGGACATACAAATTTTTGACTTGGTATTTAATGCCAATTTGTCCTAAGAACTTTTTTTTTTAAATTAAGTTTATTGGGGTAACATTGGTTAATACAATTATATAATTTTCAGGTGTACATTATAATTTAATATATGTATATTCTATTGTGTTTATCACCCGAAGTCCAGTTTCCTTCAGCTACCATATATTTGATCCCCTTTACCTACATCACCCTTCCCCTCCCTCATATTTGACTCCCTTTACCCCATCTTCCTCCCCCCTTCTCCCCCACCCAAGATCTTTGTTTTACATGAAGAAATATCCTCTTATTAGAAAGCAGCCATAATCTTTGACTCATTAATTGGGACAATTTATCCTATAGAAGTAAAAATGGTTTTATATAAACATATATATAATTTATGGGGTTTTATTTGAGGTCCCAAATCCAATTCTAATGTGTGGGGGCAGGTTTCCCCACACCAACAACCAATTCTCCAGACACCAGCTGGGTGTCCTACCTACCATTCAACTTTATTCTGACACTGTCTACCTGGAGATAGCATCAGATTCCACAGGTTAGGAGTTCGGTCCTACAAGACTGTTTCCCACTGTACCTCTTACAGAAGCCAGTTGCAAACTCAGATTATTATTACCTGTGCTTCTGACTCTTTGGCTATAAATCATAGGTTCCCCTAAACCTCTCCTTAGGTTGAATTCATTTGCTATAAAAGCTCACACAATTCAGAGAAACGTTGTAGATACTAGATTACTGGTTTATTATAACAGCATAAACTCAGTAACAGCCAGACCGAAGAGATGCATAGGGCAGGGCATGGGGGAAAGGATGTGCCACTCTCAGCACCTACACATACTCACCAATCTGGAAACTCTCAGAACCCAGTCCTTCTGGATCTTTATGGAGGCTTCATTACATAGACGTGATTGATTAAATCTTTGGGTACTGAACTCAAGCTCCAGCCCTTTTTCCCTCCCCAGCCGTGGAGGTAGGATGGGTGGGTAGGATTGAAACCTCCAACCCTCCAATCCCGTGGTTTCATCTGGCAATCATCTCCCAACCTTAGGTGGGGGCGAGAAGTCACTTCATTATCATTACAGAAGTCACCTTTCTGGATCTCCTCACTTAGGAAATTCCTTGGATTTTAGGAGCTCTGTGACAAACAGGGAGGAAGACCAAATATATAGATCTTATTATGAATCACAGTATCACGGGCTTGTAGCAGCAAGTAGCTGAAATCAATGTGAATGACTAAAAATAGTAAAAAGGATAAATAAAATGTAGACCATCCATGCTATACAATATTATGTTATCATTAAAAATATTTATATTTATTGACTCATGGTGATGTCCATAATGCTAAGTGAGAAGTATAAATTGCAGAGTAATGTGCTTGGTATGATTCTATTTTTGTAAACCTAAAAAGCAAAATACACTCACACATGCACATGCACACACACACACGCTCTCTCCTACATACACGTAATCACTTTATGTATGTATGTATTTTGTTTATTTATTTGAATATAAAAAAGCTGTGAAAGATACATTTAGGTTTTTAAAACTGTATCTTATGCAGAGTGTATGAATACTTCTCTGTATTGTTTCACATGCTACAATGGAGAAGTTTACCTTTCGAAATAAAAAGTTAGTAACAAAAATAAAGACAAAAATCACAGCCCTAACAAAGTGCTCTAAGTTTTCTGCCAACTGCTTTTTAAATTAGAGCACTTCCAGCCATTCCCAGAGGAATTTCTGGGCTTTGAAGAATGTGTCCTAAAGTCAGGATGACTTTTATAGTCAACTTAATTGTATGTTATTTTATACAAGGTAATAGCTAAACTATTGGGATTTCTCTAGTTACTGATGTTCTCAGAAGTAATCATTTTCAGAAAGGCTGCTGAAAATATGGTCAGCTCACATTTGGGTCTAGTTCATATCAAACAACCAATTTTTCAGAAGAGGAAATAGAGGATGAAATAGCAAAAGTGTATCAATTTAGGAAATTGTTTTCAGAAATAATCTAAAATTTTCAATAGATACGAGGAAGGAACAAATTTTGCAGTAGCTAAAAATACAGAATCAAATAGGGTGGAAACAATAGGGGACAGCTAAAGTGTGCTTTTGATAACCCATTAGGTTATTGGAGATTATGTTTAAAATTTTGTCCTTTTAACTGAGAGCAGTAACTATTAAAAGGAAAAAACCTTTGTATATCAGAAATTTCAAAGCCTGGTAGCACTATATAAAAATCATTTTAAAGTGAGAAATTTTAGTAATTTAGGGAACTGAAGTAAAATAAATGCATCATTTAGAAAAAGTAAAAATGGTCATTGCTCATAGATAGATTTGCTAATCGAAAACCCCTGAACAGAGATGGTGACACAGTAACTTAAACATAGTAGGTGATCAGTTTGTAAATGTGTACCAATGATATTTTGAAAATATTGAAAGGAATTTCTGGGAAGATGTGCTTATACTTGATTAGCTAACCAACAAAATATATTTGAGTTAATTTATAAATGCTAATTATACATACTGGCTTGTGAATAAGTCTGTCAGACATTACTAGATCAGGGATATGAACACACTATCATGTTCATATTGTTTTAATATGGGTATATTTTTGAAGCACCTATAGCTTTATTCAAGGCAAATGCTGAAATTCTACTCTTGTCTCAGAATTTAAACTTTACTATAATTTCAACATAAGTCATAAATAAGTGGTAACAGGTTAAAAAATAGGATAGACTTTTTTATATTTTCTAAAACTTGAGCATAAAACTTAAAATTTTTTATTAATGTCAATGAAATTGAATGCTGAAGTAGAAATGAAAAATGTTCATGGCAGTTGTTGGTGACTGTCATGTATTTCAGTATGTAATTCTGTACACAATTCCCTTGCTTTCCGTTGGTGAGCTCAGCAGAAGTGCCCTATCACTCTGAAGCAAACCTGTATAAGCTGTCCCAAAGCAGTAAATAAAAAGTTTTGCTTTTGGGTGGGGCAAGTGTATCAGTGTGTGTAGCTAACATGCGGAGAGGTGCAGTTCCTGCTACCGTCTCCTTCTGAGTCTGATGAGTGCTGTGGTTTCTCCATAGAGAGTCTGGGTTCTAAATTGTCATCTTGTACCCACTTGCTGTAATTTTAGGAGAGCCCTGACACCTCTCTGCAGATTTCACCAGTGAACATTTTATCAGTATGCAGAGTTTAAAACATTCATTTATTCAAGTTTATCTAACTCAGCTAACTGTTAATTTGTTTCTGGTGCATTGGGGGTAATCTAACCCTAGGCCTTTCTGTGTTATCTTGAATAATTGAGAGCATCCTGGTACCCAGAGTCATATTGTTACAGAAGCTGCTGCTAAGCCTCCAAGAGGTTCCCTTTACTTCACCAAGATTGAAAGTGATTCTAGCTGGCTAGGAAAAAAAAAATACGTGAAGGCTGTAATAGACCCTTAGGAAGGAAATCTGTTTCCACCAAGATAGAAGAATGACTCATATGTAAAGAATATCAATTAAAGCTTCCTTCAGGTCATTGGAATGTCTCTAAGATTTTTCAAGTAGCATTTTTTTACATGTGGTACTTCATTAACTTTTAGTGGGAGACTTTCTGAATTTTAGTTTTGTCATTTATAAAATAAAGTAATAATATCTGCCCTCGATTCTACAGTTTTGTCAGGAACAAGTAGTTTGGGGGATGTGAAGGCTCCTGAAATCATAAATGTGTACAGTACTCTAAGTCATTGTTTTCTTTCTTAGTGTTTTTTGTAGTTGTTGTTGTTTTGCCTTTTTATTATTTTCTATAACTTTTTGAACTATATGCTATTATTTCAATACAACAACATATAACCAAACATGTTAAATGGTTAAGAGTACTTAAAAAAAAAAATTTATTTCTTACTAACTTGAATTTTTATCTCTTTTATTTTTCCTGTGCAAAAAGAAAATCAGCCTGTCAGTTACTCGTGTTCAATTTCAAAATCATCTTGCAGAATTAAGTAGGTGAGGCATTGCAGAAGCTTGGCAAGCATGAGTAATTGCGGATAAATGCCAGCTCCTCCTGGGTGTGCAATTCTTAGAGAAAAAGTTATGTTGTTCAGTTTCAGTTGGGGGTGCCTTGGAACTGGGTACAGGGGTCCCTGAAGACTGACCCGCAGGCCCAGAGACAGTGCTTTTCTTTAGCCATTTTTCCACTAAGCCAAAGTGGTGTGACCTCTTCCTGCTGCAGTTTCTCAAAGTGATTGTATTTCACTGCTCTCATAAACACATCTTGTAAAAGAAACAAGGTTGTCTTTTAAACTTGTGCTCCTGCTTGACAGGAAAAATAAAACCCAGTCTCCTTTCAGGACCTCTTGGCCTAACGAGAAGTCAATCCTTTTCATTTTTGTTAAGAATGTTTTTGTATCAATTTCCCATTCTTCGTGTAGAAGTATAGTGTATTATGAAGAAAGAGAATCAGGACGATAAATAGGCCGTTTATACTTTGCTGGGATTCAGAAAGTTCTAAGTAACAGAGCTGGTTAAATAGAGAATTCTAAGACCCATAATGAAGAGATAGATACTTGTTAAAATCACTTTTTAATGCTTTCTAAAAAAAATTTTACGTGTGACATGTACTAGCCATTTTATGTATGTGAGAGCTTGCAACTTTTGGTCTATTATAACTTCTCATATATATTATACTTTGCTATGTTAGTGACAGATATTAAATAATGCCAGGATTTACTTTATTTTATATCTATCTGTTATTCTTCCGTCCAAAGATTATAGAGATGAAGGGAATTTAGGCCGATTATTTTCATATGACTTATAGCAAGAAAATATTTGTGCATTCCTGTGTGTTGGTAGTAAGCATAAAAAAACATCTGTTTGCATTTTTGCTTGTACTATTATCTGGACTAAGAGATATATGATGAACATTTTAGTTTTTAAATCAGAAATTAAGTTTGGTGCTAAGTGAAATAAGTTAGATTCTCTAGATTTGCACTGTCCAATACAATAGCTATTAACAACCTGTAGCTATTGAACACTTGAAATGAGGCTAATATGATTAAGCTCAATGTGTTGGAAGTATAAGTTTCACACTAGAATGAGCACAAAGAAAATATAAAATATTTTACTGATCATTTTTGTATTAATTAAATCTTGACATATTTTAGATATATTGGTTATATATATTAAAATCAATTTCACTTTTTCTTTAACTTTTTAATATGATTGCTAGAACATAAAATTGCATATGAGACTCTCGTTGTGTCTCTAATACATAGTACTGCTCTAAACATTGTTGGTATAGACGTATTATATTTAGATACTTCCCTTTATCAAGTTACTTTACCTTACCCCTGATTTTGAGAGCAATTTAAAGAGGTCTCTACATTAATTTTCATTGTCTTACATCTAAAATTTCACTAGACTCACTTCAAGAGTTTGCTCATCTTTTAGAGGTTTCATTCTTAAAAAGTCGATTTTAAATTCACCTTGGGTCAGTGAGTTGTTTGTTTTAGCTGTGTCTATAGAGGCTCTTCTTCCTAGAGAGAGGGCACCGTCTTGTGGAATATACTGAGTATAGCAGTTTAGATTTCGGCTGTCGATGTTAAGATCCTGGGAGAGGCAAATAATTTATTTCAGATATTTGGAGAAAAAAAACTAAGACTAACGATAAAGATGTTTACTTCTCTGCAGCGTCTTCTTTCATAACTGGAGCCCATATCAATTCTGGGACTTATTTTTCTTAGTTATAAAATGTTAGGGTAGAGGCGATGTAATAAGAACATTATGATTTTGAGTGCTTTTTAAAATTACAAAGCTCTTATTCAAGTTTTAGGACTATTTTTTTCCTCCCAAAATTCCCAAATGAAGTTTTTGTATTTTATTATAAAAAGAAGCAGAGTTCTATGTTTTTGTCCTTTTCCTATATAAAACTCGCAGGTGTTTATTTAATCCATACAAGTAAGCTTCATTAAATAAACGAGGAAGAAAAGATATGA